CCTTTTTTTTCCCCTCAAAATTTCCAAATTTTGAGCAGAAATGCAAACAGGCAGTGACTGTGTCCATAAAGCAAAACATGAAATATTTGTACTTCCTTATGTAGATGACAAACAGAGGGCAAATGACATGTTATGAGAAGATTGAAAAGCCTCTTAATGTGTGAAAATTTAACATCTGTTAATAATAACAATGTTACTGTCTAGGGACAACGAGAAATCCTCTGGGATACCTAATGATATGCAAATTTCTGAAGTAACTACTTCACAGATACACCTAAATGGGGGAGAGAATAACAGCACATGCTATTCTTAAGAAATCCTAAGAAAATAATATATGCTAAAGGGAAAACTATAATTCCTGCTGCTTCAACTGAAAAACAGGGCGTTACCAAAATTTGGGCTTCCAAAAAACTTGCATTTCTAGCTTACTCTCTCTTTCCCCGATGGTTTTCAATTTTCTTATTTGAACTGCTGTCTTATTACTTAAAGAAATATAATAAGCTAAAAGCCATTACATGCATTTGTTAAGAGTATTTTATATAGATAGCATGGAATACAGGAGATGCACCAGTTTAAGTGACAAGGGGAGCATATCCCATAGTATGCCATATAGCAACGCAGTACAGTAGAACATGACTAGACCATGAGTTTCACTGAGTCAACATGGGATTCCAATCTTTATTTGTTCTTTTACAAATTAAATGCAGCTGGAGCAAAGCATAACATGAAGTTCAGATGCAGAAAAGACCTTAAAAGACGAGGACGAGGACTAAGACTAACCACTAGCTTAGTCTCCCAAAAGCTCCAGGTTTGTGTGACTAGGGGCTTGGAAAGTCAGTTCTCTACTATAGGATGTGATGTTTCCAGCTGTGGTGTGGTTAATAGTTCCTCCATACAGGGCTTACTTTATATTTACTTGAGTCTTAGAGCAATTTTAATTATATCATCCAAACAATCTCAGTTTGCAAAACAATGTGGCATTCTACAGAACAGCAGAAATGGACTTGTTTAAGCTCAGGGAACCAACTGCTTGGTTAATTTAAGTAACTAGAGTACTTTGAGGCCCAAAGAGGGAAAAATGTTAGTAGCAGAATGCATGTGGCACCATGCTTTAGGGTGTTTCCTGCATCCAGGCAGCTTTGCCAAAGAATTAAACTTGTGAAAAGTAATAAGCTCACCTTATTTCAGGTATCACTTGCAATAACTGCTTTAGTTACATTTCTGTATTTCTGCTGACCTAAAATTATCTCCATGGGAGATAAGAGAGGTGCTAGAACAACCAGATGGCACTTGTTTATATTTATAACATTCACGTCTGGTGATAAACTAAATGAAACATGGTAAAAGATTAAGAAATGCCTGCACTACAGTGAGGAAGAAAGGTTGAAAACTATTTTTTTTTGAGGTTATATAGTAAGCTCAGCTAATGGTTTGAGACATTAAGGTGGACAATACAAAAAGTTGTCTGTAATTTGCAGGATGTCGGCCTCATGTAAAAGAGAAATGAGCTAGCCTAAGTCCTGATTTTAGGTATATTCACACACATACATGACTGTTGGCACAAAAATAGTTCCGTGATTACAAAAGTACAGTGTTTTCCTGAATCAAGGCTTCTTGAGGAGTATTTCCCCTTCTACATAACTTACCCTGGAGCAACTAAGAAAAATAATACTTTCAAATTTACCAAATAAAATCTCCCTTTTTGTCTTGGTTCTGCTCCTGCATGGCTAAAGTACTTCCTTCACATGCTGTGGGATTTTCTTTTTTCACCCTCTTCTAGGAGATTTGCACATATAAATCCCTTTAAAAGACACAATGAGTTCTTCATACTTAGAAACAAAAAGCTAACACAACCAAGTGCCAGACACGGCTGGAGGGATCCCAGATCCTCATGTACTGCAGGGATACCTTTCGTCACTTATTAGTACCACTTCCCTTTGAAGAGCTAAGAATTCCATGAATATTTTTTCTCTAAAAACCAGTAATATCTGAAATTTCTTTGACTAATGGGGTAATATGTCTAAGGTAAGTATTTACACCTGAGGCTGTTACTCTTTCACAGTCATGGGAACTGTCGTGGTTTTGCCCTGGCTCAATTTACTTTTACACCCCCCATACAATTACTATCAGTTGAGAGAAGGTTTATGCAGACAAAAAGAGACTGAATTGGAAAAAAAAGTATGAGTATTTATTATTAACAAGCTAAAACTAAAGAACTATATTTACAATAATTCTACTTAAGTAAAAGGTATTATGTATTTACAGAAGATACTTCTCCCCCCACCTCCCTTTATATCAGTCCAAGGAGGAGAAGCAGTCCTTTTCCATTCTCGGAATTCCAGCTCTCTCTTTCTCTTCAGTAACTTTGCAGCACTTTCGTCGCAGCTGGAACTCTTTCTCCTTCTCTGTGTCAGCCTTCAGGGCTGGGCCTACCCCCCTCCTGGGTTAAAACCGAAGGCTGGGGTTACCCAGGTCCTGAAAGGGTCTCCTTCCATAGGCTTGCAAGGGGACACTTGCTTACTATGGATCTTCTTCCACAGGGTTACAGGGGATAATGGTTTAGGCGTTCACCCCTGTTTCCCTATGGAGGTCCCTCCCCATGGGAGAACAGTCCTTGATAGACCTCTCCAACATGGTCTAGCATGGATCCTTTACTTGGATCCCCACATTTCACCCGAGCCGCTCCTGCTCCAGCATGAGGTTCTCATCCCCCTCAGGGTCATAAATCTTCAACAGCAGCAGCATGGATCTCTCACTGAGATCCCAAAATCTCACCTGAGCCGTCTCTTGCTCCAGCGTGAGGTTTCCCTCAGGGTCACAAATCTCCAACACCAGCAGCATGGATCTCTCACTGAGATCCCAAGCTTATCTGAGCCGTCTCGCTCCAGCATAAGCATCGTCCCCTTCGAGGGTCACAAAGTCTTCAACAGGACTCTGCCTCATCCGAGCCGTTTCTGCTCCAGCATAAGGCTTTTTCTCTCTGTTAAAGTCACAAATCCCTGGTACATTCACAAGCTCCTCTGTGAGCCACATGGGGGTCTCTTCACCCCAACAAACTTTTACAGGTGGTAGGGATTTTATTTTTCAGTCTTTACCCTGCTGAAGGGAGGGAGAGCGAAAGGGAGAAAAAAGCAGCTCTCCCCCCTTCGAACTTTTCTTCTCTCTCCTGCGACTGCAGCTTTGACCTTGAAAATCCTGTTATCTCATGGCTGGAATTCTTCTGCAGCGGTTTCTCGTCTAAGCAGTTCGTCTTTTAAACCTTTTTTTTATTTTACTCTTTTACAGAAGAGAAGGAAGGCTTCAGTACTACACCTGCCCCCCCACCGCCGGCCCAAGCCAGGGAACGAGGGGGCCTTGGCCCTCCTCGGGCCCGCTACACTTCTACATGGCTGCTGCTCCTAATTTCAACTGCACAACCAACCTTCTCTTCCGTTTTCTTAAAGATGTAATTAGCAAAGGCGTCACTGAACTTTTTGATTGGTTTTTTTGTCCGGAAATCACTTGGACAAAACCATCCTCAGCCCCAGGGATGACCTGGTGGGCAAAACCACGACAGGAACTCAAGTCCAGAGTATGATTAATCTCATCAGAAACTAAAATAAATTAGACAAAACACACCCTAAAATGCATCTTTTTCAATTTACTGTAAAGAGAGCGCTAGGATACCAACACAGCTTAAGAGTGTCTATAGTGTAGCATCTAAAGGTAAATAAGATATCTCACATCAGTTTTCCTGTATTCCAAGCTTTCAGATGCTGAAAAGTATTTTACCTTTTTCTGTAAGACTGAGAACCTCATTAGGATATTTTTCTCCCATGAAAATATTTGCTCACTGTTGCTGTGCCTTACCACAAGGACTATCCTATAAGGATTTCCTCAGTTCTGGAAAACAATCCTGTATTTCTTGCCATAAACCCATTCTACTTTGTCAGCACACCATCTGCTCTACATACATCACGCTCACGTATGACCTGCTGTTAGTGTCAAATAGGGAAAGTAACCAACCTCACAAATCATCCCTGAAATTCCTCAGGTTATACAGCTCTTAAATAAACTATCCCTGTTGACTTCTTCAGAGCTCAGGGAGTGCATGCTTAGCTACCTAATCATTAGGATCCCAAGTCTTTTTCAGAGCCACTGTCTCACAGCACAGTCCCTGCTGCTGAAAACATCTTGCATTTTGCTCTTAGGTGTGTGACTTACAGTGAAGTGGCTCAGCTGTGCCTCACAAAAACACCAAGACACTTCAAGACATGAGCACTTCAGACCCCTGTAAGGTTCAGCAAATGATGCCTCATTACCGACCTAATTTCTATTTTCTACAGTTTCCTCCTGTCCTCTCTTCTTCAAACCTTTCCTGGGGCCCTACCAACTTAAACTCACTTTCTCCATCCCCACGTTCATTCCCTGCGTTGTGCTTACATCCTCACGTGCCATTCTGGTAAGTTAACACTGCCCTATTTAAGTGGGATCATTTTTCACCCTATCTTGCTGCTCCCCGTTTCTCCTTTACTTCGCTTTCAGATGCCACCTGTGAACTTTCCCCCTCATTTTAAGCTCTCAAAACAGCTTAAAATCCACCTCCTTTACTCGAAACAGCTCTCGCAAACCCCCAGTGACCCATTTCTGACGTGAGTTCAAACCCAGCGCTCTCCTGACCCCCTCTGACACTGCCACCTGCCCGCTACGCCAAAGGGATTTTTCTTCCAAGTTTCCACCATCTCGACGACAACTATTTACAGCAGCAAAAAAAAAAAAAAACACACACACACACATTTTAATATTTCCTTGATGCTCCTCGCGGGCACCTGCGGCCCCCCGCAGGCTGGGGCTGAGGCGGTTACCAGGGCCCAAGGAGGGCCCCAGCCCGCGGTGACTCTCCCGCCGCTCCCCTCCCAGCGCAGCCAGGAAAGTGGGAGGAAACGCGCCTTGGCAGTGACCGAGGCGAGGAAGCGGCCGGTCCGAGCTCCGGAGACCTGCCGGCCGCGCCCTCCCGCCTCGGGGGCCAGGCCGGGCCGGGCGGCGGCTCCGCCCCGCTGCGGGGGCGCCCGCGCCGGCACAGGCGGCTCCTCTCGCCGCGCTGACGCCAGCGGCGCTGGAACACCTGGAGGGGCGGCGGCGCCTGCGGCTCAGCCCTTCCCTCCCCTCCGCAAGGTGAGTGCGGGAAGGGGGACTCGCTGGGCTCCGTGCCAGACCCGGGCGGGGGGCGCCGGTGCCGGGCAGCCCCGGGTGGGCGCCGCTCCCCCCGCGGGCAGCCCGCTCGGGGCGAGGGGGGCGGCGCGGCCGCCGGGCCTGTGGCGCTGGAGCCCGAGAGCGGGGTATCAGCGGCCGGACCTGTCCAGGAGGCATCTCCCAGGCACAAGATGGCATCTGCCCCTCCTTGTGCCTTGTGTTCCCCCTCCCGCCGTGCGGTCGTCTCGCCATGATTATTGCATTTATCCGTTTGTGCCTCCCGTACATCCTCCCTGGCTCTGTGCCCGCTGGAAGCGGGGAGGGAAACGGCCGGTTCTCCTCGGCGGTTTCCGGCTGGGCTGCCGGGCTGAGGCGCGGGTTGCCCATTTGCGGTCCGTGCCGCCCTGGGGGCCGGCCGGGTCGAGAGGGGTGGCGGGGCATCCTCTGGTCAGGTAATGTCAGACACCAAAGCGGCACCGGGGCAGTGACAGCTGGGGAAATGGCAATTCCGGAAACCCAAATTTCTGAGTTAAAGCTTGTAATTTGTGAAAGGTTGATCTTGGTACTCAGATTTGCTCTATATCCCTCCACCTGATCCGCGTAGGCTGCTCTAGTAATTTAAAAGAAAAAAGGAAAACATCATCTCGGTTCTTAGGAGGAGAAAAGGGTGAAGGGCACTGTGCTCTTTTATTTTTTGGTATCATTATGGGTATGTTCAGTGCCAACTGTAAATAAGTCTCCTGTTCCACACTGTTTTGCGTAATGCTGATAGCCTCAAGGATCTGCATGGCCTCTCTCTTAAAACGGTAATTCGGATATGCCTTAGTTCAAATGTATAAATGTGAAACGGAATCGGGTAATCTCAGGGGTACATTCTTTAACCCCTTACCCCAACTTACATTGTGGTAGTATTTTGGAAGCTTGGCATTGGAGTTGTTCTTCTGTTTGGTTGTTTGTAATATTTTCCCCCTGCCTGTGAGCCTTGCTTTAAACCAAGGTGACCTTTTATTTCCATGAAGCACCTGTTTGTTGGTTTTGATGCCTCTCCTCCCCCCCCTCCACGTTTAATTGTGTTATCCTTCTTCTTTCAGTTTCTGGATAGATTTTATTTAATTTGGGTCTCAGAAAGCAGCTGTGACTCTTGTTTCAGAGCAGACTTCTTGGAAACAAACTGTTCTTGTGTTTTGCTCTAGCAAAACTGTGTTTGATCACTTCTGCAAAGTGTTGGGCAGAGGAAATGGTGGGCTGGATTTTGGAGTCTGCAGGGCAGGCTGCATTTGGTTATGATCTTTCCACTGATTTTTCTGGTAATCCACTCTTTTTCTATTTGGTCTACCCAGGGTTCTCAAGGAGAGAGTGGACGAACCCCTTGACAGTGCCATGTGTCTGACACAGATCTAGAAGTTGCAGTTCTTAGTGGTACTTAGCATGAAGTCCAGCAGCATCTCATTTAGGCTTTAGCAATTTTTTTATACTGCTGTTTGAAGAGGGGTAACCTATTGGTTTAAACTGAGTGATGTAATGGCTTAAGGTTTATGTCAATACCACTGAAAGAGGAATTTAGCACAGAGCCACAGAGATCTTTTGAGTCGTGAACTGCCGTAACTGGTATAACTAGTCACATTTTTCACATGACAAACTACTGGAAGGTGATGTGGCAGTTATATGCTGCCAAACCTTGGTCTAAATGAGTTTCTAAAGTTTCTCTACTGTCAGAACTTCATGGGTGACACATTGTTATTCCAGAAAGGTTCAAGCACTATATTGAAAAGTTTAGGTGCTGGTCATTGGAATTTACCTCCTTCTTAGTTGAAAAAAAAATTAAGTGCTTTTTAGATAATAGAGATTTATTCCACTGTGTTTGTTGGAGTTAAAATTCAAATATGAATGTTATTGAAGATTTGCGGGTTCAAGAAGACCAGTTATGACTGTATGGGAAGGTTTCTTTAACATTTTTCTTTCACAAGTTTATATTATTGGGGCGTGGAGGGAATCACATAGTACAAAGTAAAATTCCTTTGGAACCCTACTGCAGGGTTAGGGTTTTTTTCCCCTTAGTAGAGTTCCAGGCCCACCCATCTTTCCATTTCTTCTCTCTTGTCCATACTTTACACAGCTGCTAAATTGTTCTGATGATTTCCCAAGTAATCTTTTCTTGAAGAAATGAATAATAACATCTCTTTTCAGTCTTCAACTAGTGTTGGAAGCTGTCGGTACAAGTTGGCAGAAAAAAAATGTGCCAATATCTCATCTAAACCAGAAGACAAAAAATGTTCTCAAAGACTCTTTTTAATACTGTTTTTAAAATCTACTGCAAGAGTATTGCTCTTAGTTGATTCTTCAAGATGTTTTTGCGACTTCTCAACCATAAAGTCATTCTAAAGACAAAATTATGCCACGTGATGCAGAAGCATTAAAAATACAAAAGCTCGGAAGGTGAAGTTCTTTAAACAAAGAACCAAGCAGTCAAGAACAGTAGAAACATTTGACCTTGTAAGTGTTGCTAGTAATAATAGTCTCACGGTAGTCTTTCCTTGGCTATTGTTAGCCATGGCAAACCGAGGGGCATTTTGACCGTTGTGCAATTATTTACGTCAACCTTGGGAACTGTCTGTACTGAGTCACTGAAGCAGTACTCGGGTGCATCTTGCAAGGAATTTCGTAGGGATCACCGCTGCTCTGGGAACAGTTGGCTGGTGTGCCAGGATCCAAGAACAGTAATATCAAAGTTGAGTGGACTGTGTGTCTGTGGAGAACATACAGCCTGTACTGATGGTGTTTACTCAAAGGGTGGTGAAAGGAGATCACGCTGTATTGTTGTTGCTGTGCATGTTAAGACTATTTTGTTAATCAAATCTCTAATCCATGTATGTGAAATAATCTCCAAGGGAATCTGGAGAAAATTATTTTCTCCTGTTCCCTCCTCCAGCATTGTTTCCCCTTGGGTATAAATGGCATTGCTTTCTGTCTTGTACATGGATGAAAAGGCAAGAGAGAGGCAGAAACTTGAGAGGACTGACTGTGCCAGCAAATAGGGTATCTAATTAAGAGCTGGAAGTTCTAAAACCATATATGTTTATATGTAATATACCATACATGCAAAAAGAGTTGTTTGGTGTTTTGTTTGTTTGGCTGTTTTGGTTTTTTTTTTTGTCCACTGCTTTTCCTATAGGTTCTGCAAGGGAAAGTTTCCTAATATTAAGACTCTAGATGATTACAGATAGAATGTGTCACAAAAATAATCTTGTTGTCTCTTAGAATCTATGCACAGCGCATGTTCCACGTGACATTTTCTTTAATAGTATTCAGCTACTAAGTTTGCAAACACTGGTTTCTGAACTAAGAGAACAAGTGTGTATTACAAAACAATTTGATAATAATTTTTGAGAAATGAAGCAAGTCTGCATTTAGAATGAGGTTAAATACTGGGTTGTATATATTCCTGGTTTTGCTCGTTAGTGGTGAGGTAAGACCTGCCACTCAGTGACTTAGATGCAAAAAATTCTTTTATAAAATGCACATGGTACTTATGATGCTTACCTGGTTCTTTCCTGAGGGCATTCACTCAGTGTTCTTCACAAACGTAAGTGGAACACTTTAATAGTCAAGTAAAAGATGTTACATGAGGGCAAATTGATACTATGTGCTGTCCCTACATTATTTCACAATAAGCAGATGAAAAATCAGTATAATCTGAAAAAGGAATTTAAAATTAATTTTTTGTGTGATTAAATATCTCTGGTTTTATGCTAGTGATTAAGTTCTGCATGCACATGAACTTATCTAGAGAGTTCTAGGATTTGCTCCTCAGTCTTCAACCTGTCAAATTTATTTGAATCAGCATTTATTTGAAATATTTTTTTGGACACTACATGTACTCTGTCTTGAATGCATGTACTATTCTTATAGGTGCTTTTGAGGTAAACCACTGTTTTCAGGAATTTATCATTCATCTGCTTAAAAATCCACAAAAAACCCCTACAAAACCAACCCAGCTCCAAGTGTCATTCCAATACCTGTTATGCCCTAGAAAGGAGATCACTTATGCCTGTAAATTTGAATTGATAGTTTTTGGAATAGGTATATAGTCCTGAACAGACACAAAATTACTTTATAGAGAGGAATGCTAACAGTTGACTTGGTCCTTGCACTTTGTGGGAGCAAAACCAGGTTTTGAAACACACAGTGATGTAGTACCAAATTTCCACTTTTTTGTGTTGGCTAAAACTTGCCTCTAACCACCTCAGTACTGAAAACCCGTGCAGTTCAGATGGACTGAACACTCTTAAGTTCTAGGTATAAGTGAGAAATAAATTTTCAATGTGTAAATTTGCTCTGTTTATATGCCATTGTCTTCTATTAACTTGTATGTATCATGGTTGGGAATAGAAAAATAAAGATTAAAGGACAGCATGAGAAACAGGGCCCTGGATATCATCCTTTGTTTATACTACCCCAGGAAATTAAGTAGAATAATTTCCTGTGTTAATTGTGTATTCTGAAATGTTAGAAGCATGACAGTTGTTTTTTGGAAAAAGTAATTCTTGACAGTACTCTCTGCAGTAGCTATGGTTCATCTGCCCTGCATAGGGAGCATTAAGAGTCAGTGTAAAATTCAGTGAAAAACAGTTCACTATATATTTAATACCAATACTATTTTTTGGATGTACTGTTTGCAAATGGGTTCCTGGGTATTGCTGCAAAATGATGGAAAGCAGACCTGAAATGTTCAGATTTCTTCAGAGCTTGTAAATGGTTTGTAATGGTACAAGTCCTTAATTGCACTGTCTGTCACTTAAGATACCTGCTGGTATTACTGTGGTTTGTTCTCCACGCAGTTTACTAGCTTGAGAAAGAAGGGAGTGTTATTAGCTCAAACTGCTGCCTTGGAGAATGGACTCCAGTTTCTTTGATATTTCTGTTGTTTTGAGTACATGGTTGGGGTTTTTCTGCATGTCAAATTTCAGGGGGCAGTGGGTGTTGAGGGGTGGCTGTTGTGGTTTTTTAGTTTTGTTTTTTTCTTGTAGTTTTGCTTTGGTTTGGGGGTTTCTGTTTGGTTTTTTTTTGTTGTTGTTTTTTTGTTTGGTTGGTTGGTTGTTTTTATTTGTTTGTTTTAATTCTTTGAAGGATCAAGATAAATTAATAAATAGAAAAAAATTTTTGCTGGGATGTCTCATAAGCCTTGATAGATAGGATAAGGAAATGGACAAACTTGTGTATAGAAATATTAGTTCCAGAAGTGTTTGCAGTGAAACTAAAATTTGTTTCCAGGAGTTTTATGGGATATGGCTGTGTCCCAATCACAGTGTTATTCAGTATGCTGCTGACACTTTTTCTCCCCAGTAATTCAACAGACACCGTGAAATCCTAGTTCTGAGAGAATTGGAATAGAAAAGCACTCTCACAGCATAATTTAGCTCTGTAGTTCAGGTGCTTCACTTGAAAAGCATCATTTCTGTGTATACAGAACACAGGGGTGAGGCTCTTCTTCAGGTGCTCAGAGTTGCTCTTTGGAGGTTCTATTCACCACTTGTACAGGGACTTAAAATTGAGAGGCTTGTATGGTAATTTAGGCACTGCAGTTAGATAATTGGGGTCAAACAGCATGGTTTTTTTCCCTCTCAGCACCTCTCAGGTGTATGAATATAAAAGGAGCTCTCTCTGTATAGCAGATGCCATTTATCCTGTGCTTCTTTGAAGAATGTTTGAAACTTCTTTCCAGATATCAGCTCCTGAAATAGTTTGAAAGAGTAATTTTGTTGATACTGCAATCTTATATTACTTCTCCTGAGAAGTAGTGGGTAATCTCTAAGATGTATGCTTCTCAGGATAAGTAGCAAAGCTGTGGATCAGTCTGAAACAAAGGAATAGACAAAAAGTTGTAGTGGATGGAAGGAACTGCTAATGCAACACTCACAGACCAATCTGCAAACTTTTTGAATTAATAAACAAGTGCATCAGTGAGTGGCCTAACAGAATGAAAAGACTTCTGGATTCAAAGCTAAGCATGGATGATTCTGCAGGATTAGAACATCAATGTTGAGAGTTAAGAGCTTTAGAGGAAAAAATAAATCTTGTAATTTTTCATAGATATAGCTTGAGCTCTAGATTAATTTTAGCTGAATTACAGTCATTCATGTAGTTAAGAATAGGAATACCTCTAAGTCTGTGCATAATCTGGATACTGAATGCCTGTATAGACCCAGACAGTTTTCACTCTTCCTGCATTGGCAATATGGATAGTAAAGATCTACAGGCTGTTAATATTGTCTTTTTTTGGGGAAAGGCAAAATGAAAAGCCACTTGAAGCTCCTTGTCTGCATGTCTGTAGACAAACTAGCAAAGATAAAACTGTGCCCAGACTAGTCTTCATCTTGCAGTGAGACTGCTTCTTGCTTTGCAGGCCCATTTACCTGATTCCATTTGATCACAGCTTCCAGCAGGCAGAGTGAGGGAGATATGTTGCCAGCCAAGAGCTGTTGGAGACACAGATGGCATTGATTCCCTCACCTAAGCACATTTTCTTCCCTTCAGAGTATTTTACTTAAATGAAACTATCACTCAACTTTTACATATGGAACTCCTTAAAATTATTCTTTTTTTATTGGTAGTTGTTGCTTAGTACCACTCTACTGTATTAAAAGTTTCTTGGAAGATTATTCATTTTAATAAAAGTGTTGGAATAAGTAAATCAACTGCAATGCATGATTCTGCTACATTTGAAGTTGTAAGTTGCAAGGCTTTTAGGATACAGGGAGTCTGTGGGGATTTGAAGAGCCACAGAACTTATTAGCTGCTTTGGAAGAACAATAAACTGAGAGGACAGTGCTATCAGTGAAAGTGCAGACTCTTCTGTGTCCCTCCTGATGAACACATTACTTGCATATAAGGGTTGATGAATTCTGCTATAGAGCTGTATCACTCCTGAAGTCAAACTGAGTCTAGAAACAGTTTGGATGTATTTTACAGTGCCCAGGCTGAGAGGCTGTGCCAGTCTTCTCTGGCATCACTCTGCAAACATGAAGATTTCTGGAACACAATCCTGAGGCTTCTTGGTGGCTTCTCAAAGAGCCCCTTGGGGATTTCCAAGGTTTCAGCAGGGCTTATGAACCCAGCTGGATCTATATGGGAATGGATGTTTCAGTGCTGTGGTCCTTTATTTTCTGAGCAGACTTGTTATGAATAGAGCCAGCTCAGGTTTAATGCTACAACTGAAGTAGCATCAGTCTCTCTCAAGACACCGGGAAAAATACTTGCAAAATTACTGGAGGTGTGTATGGACTTTTTCAGGAAACGTCAGATCCAGCACTGTGCAGCATTAAATGTGGGTTTATGTACAGTCATCTGTAGTGTGGCACTGCTTTCCCAGGCATGATAAAAAACACCCATGTTTGCTTCCGATAGCCCCTCCCCCATCTAGAGTATCCCTACCTTTTGTTTGTCAAGGTAAAGACTGTCATGGAGATCACTAGTGTTGTGTAACACTTTATTGTCAAAGATAATGGAAACTTTCCGATGCAAATGCTTTCCTATAGGGTGATAAATGATTTTTTCAGTTGTTTGCTGTTTGTGTTTGGTTGTTTTTTTTTTTTTTTTGTTAATCATTGTCAGTATAATATTATTTATTGAAACTTTTTTGTTTTTTTTTAGTCTTAATACACTGGGACGAAAACCAAAAAAAAGTTCCTTACATCAACTCCTTGTGGCAAATTAAGCTTATTTTCATATCTGAAACTGTATGATAAAAGGTTAATTTTAAATTTGACTGCAATTTCAGGGGCAAGTATTGGTGGACTCAAGTTAGTGTCATGTGCTTCCATTGTAGTCAGCTTTGCCAAAGAGCAACTGCCTTGTTGCTTCTGTTCAGGACCTCTATGTCTTGTTCTTCGAAAGCATAACAGAGTTCAAAGCCTAAAGCAGTCAGAAGTTATGTGCTCATTCCTTGGTCTCTTCCTGAAGCCTCAGGGCCAGCAATTTGTGACTGTAGGAATTCTTTGTTACATGATTGTGAAATGTTCCTTTTAATTCTTGGATACTTTCCTGGGCTGTTTCCAGTCTTCCTTTATTAGTATTTCTCACTTTTTGAGGCTAGACTTAGATCTTGGGGTTTCTTAAAAAAAAATCTCACTACTTTCAGCTAACCCAAATGCTCCTAACAGTGTCCTTTGTTACACCTGAACCAATACCTTAACCCTCTTTTGTTCCTGGACTTGGCACAACACGTGAAATTAGAGATTATAAAAATTAATAAATTATGGCCCTGTTAAGTTACTGCAGAGACAAATTACATTGCACATGTAGCAATAATGGAAGAATGAATGTTAATGTTAAAAGTTTTGGCTATGAATGAAAATATATTACTAAAAGGTGAAAATATCTCAGGTAATTTTGAAAACATATACTTCTTGTATGTGTGTTGGCACAGTGTTCATGGGGCAGTGTTATTCTGCTGTCCATTTCTGCTGACTTTCCATCCTTGTGGAAAGTCTTTCATATTAAGCCAATGGTAGCAACAAACTTGCTGCTCTCTCATCTGATCTTCTTTCACATTGTACAAATTTTTCACAGAATCGAATAGGTTGGAAGGGAGCACTAGAAATTGCACAGCCCAGCCTCCTGCTCAACCGAGCCCAGTTAGGGCACGTTGCTCCAGGCCATGTCTATCCCTTGCCTCAGGGGGCAGCTTGTTCCAGTGCTTAACCACCCAGATACAAACATGAGAATTTCTGTAATACTACCTCAACTACATCTGACCCAATTAAATATTCCTATATCATGTTCCTCCACCTTTGTTTCATTTTTTTGTATCTGGGTAATATATACTGTTTCCATTTCAGTAGAGCTTAACTACGATGGTGAAACATGAAATATGAATTAATTTGCACAAGTGTGTCTAACTTGCAAGAAGTTCTGTATAAACAGACATTTTTTAGGGTACATTCAGATCAGCAGAAACCAAAGCAAATGCACATTTATGGTCTAAATTAACAGCTAAAAAATGGCATAATAGTAGTGGACATCCAGGTTTTTCAGCGTTCTTGGTTACTGAGAAAGGTAAAACTCAGATGGGTCTTCTGAGGCATGATTGGTTTCTTTATGAAGATTTCTTGGACAACATCTGGAATGAATGGGATCCAGGAACATTCTTGATAGAAATTGTAAGTGAAATACTGCAAGCCTTATAAAAAGTAATCTGATTATTTTTTAGCAGCCACGGTTCTGTTTTCTCAATGCTAGTGCTTACTGAGTTGTCTTTGCAAACTGAATTCTTATTTAGAACCAAAAGCTGGCTCCATACTGGAAATACAACAGGCCCAGGGATTGAGCTTGAGCACTGGGCTACTGCTTATTCCCACTGTTTAATTACTGCAATCTCCCTGGCGTGGTTTTTATCTATACTACCTAGAACTCTCTGGGACCTTTCTCTCTCATGCCAAGAGCCATTTCCAGCAGGCAGTGTGGGTAAGACTCCACTTCTGTTTCCTTCCACCCTGATCGGCCACATGACACTATCCCAGCAGGCCTTGTAGCCTTGAACACCGTAAGTGCCATCATGTCACACAGCAGGACAGGGAATAGGCACTCTCATTGTCATAGCATGCAAATACTGTCCTAATATCTGTTGTATAACCTCTCTTTGAACTAAAATATTCCCACAAATAATATCTTAAGGGCATAGGTGTGCTATGTAGAACCTGAATGAGTATAACTAAGATGATCTCAGAGTCAAAATATAAAGTCAGATGTTTAGGAAGAAAGAGCATGAGCTGTGCTTGCAAATGAGAACTGTATTACCATGACCTTGATAGATACATTTCTTTTTGTTTTAGGGGAATTTGTTTCCAAGAGGAGCAGGTGGACGTGTACAGTGAGTAAGGTCAGTGCCTTAGACCTTTTTCCCATATTGGTTGCTTTCCCTCTGTTCTAAGTAACATACGTGTTATTTCATCTAGATAGGCTGTTCTTTGCTTCCTGTCAAACCAAGTGTGCTACTGAATAACTGAGTCAGGGATGTGTATACAAGGTAAATCCTGTGGTCTTATCTCACTCAAACACACCCACAGTTGACTTAAGGAGGACCAGTGTGAAAACAGTGAAGTCAAGCATAAAGGTATTAGAAAACTGGAGTTAATGTTGCCTGTGGTTCTAGAAACTACAGCAAAGCCATGACCTGTGCTATCTATTCAGTACCTTGTCTGACTCAGTGGTTCTGTAACACAAATTACAATCTGAAATGATTCTTTCTTCCTCTTTGTTCAGCTGTTAGGCTTTTTATTTAAACTCTACTCTGAAGATAGAGTTATGAATATTCTCATGGTTTCTCCTGCAGTGCTTAAGAGCATGTCACAAAAATTCCAGTTCAGGAGAATTTCCTGCTCTGATATAATCTTGCTGCATCTCATGGAACTTTGCCATGAAGTTTCACAGGTACTGACAGCAGAGAGGTTAGACTCAGAAATCTGGGGTTTGGCTCCATTCAGCTCCAAATGGAAGTGCATGTGCTTCACGCTTGCAGGAAGCACTCAGGTTGTTTGCATTCCCTTGTTTGGGTTCCTGCAATCTGTTCCAGTCCTTTGCCACTCCAGTGCTAACCACACTGTCTGCAAGCAGCACTGTGCTAGATATGTTTCCAGCATCACATCTCCCCTTTGTAGCCCATTTTCTTGCTTGCTTGCCAAAATTTCAGCACCATTACCTTCCTAGCTGCTTTTCCCATTGCTGTTTTCTTAGTCAATCAGCTTCATATCCTAGTGCAGCCTATTGGTGTGTTCATTCTGTGCCTCTTCTTGCCAAAGGCCATTCCCCAGCAGCACCATCTCAGCAGCTTCATTTTGGTCTCATCCACGATCATGCTGCAGTGCCTCCATTTCCATGTTAACTGTGTGCTGAAGGACAGTCTTCTCTAAAAACAGCAGAGGAGAAGCCAAGTGCTTGTTATTTATAAAGAGTGTCAGGCTTGTCTGGTAAATTTGGCCTGGAGAGAGCATGCTGAGGTACCAGTGGGAAGTGATGTGCATGCCATCTGGTCAGCTCAAAGTATAGTGGGAGACTTGAGTATCCAAGCTGGAGACAGTAACTTATAAAATCTAAAGCCCTAATGTACATATATCATATTCTATCCTAAGGAACTGTGTTGTCCCTCATGGAAAAATCACCTGGTCATTAAATTTCACCTCTACAATTCAAGACATGACATAACTAGTGTTTGAAAAAAATAGATCAGTGGGATATAGGCAAAAAATAATAATAATAAAAAAAAAGATAAAATGTAGTTGAAATTTGTTGTGACTAAAATTTGGAGGAAAGAACTTGACTGAGGATGATGCCTAGCATTGACAATTTTGGTATGCCTTGTCAAAAGTCACAGAATTTATGCCAGGTAAATTTGCTTTTGCCTGGAAAACTTGCTAACATATAAGTTGGCATCATAGATGGCACCACTTAAAAAATGTCGTGGATTTATGTGAGAATTGTGTGTTACCTGAGGAAGGCCTTTGGTCCACATATTGAAGAGTTTATTTTTGTAACATGGTAAAGAAGATGCTGCAACATAGTAATTTTGTGTGTGAAAAGGTAGGGGATTTCTAGTGTTTAACTTGGAAATTATGTTTTAAAGGTGTTTGTATTAACTGATAATTTCTTATTTAAGTGTCTGAAGAAAACAAGAATTATGGAAGGTCATAAGTAGTAAGTATCTTGATTATTTTTTCTTATTCTAAAGAGCTAGTAGCATTTGTTATGTTGATTTGTCACAGCCTTTATCACACATTATGTTCTGGCATCTATTATTTATATGAAGTCACTAATGTCAGTAGACATGCTGTTTAAAAAAAATAAAAATAAAAACTGAAAAACTGCCAAAGAGTAGAAAAACAAATAATTGACCAGATAGAAAAATAGGATATCAGTTTCCTGTGTAATGGAAATAAATATTAACTGTCATATTTCAAGAGGTTTTCTCTGATCATCAGCTTCACAATAAAGTACATCCTTCTTTCAGTTATATTTTCTGATTGTTTAACAAAACCTAAGTATGTTCGTGGTTGCTTGACACAAAATCCGTCTTAAAAGGTATGAACAGGTTTCTACCAATTTTCCATCAAGTATTTCAGTAATGTGATTGAGTCATTATCTTAAACAGAAGTCATTAAATTAAATTAGAAGCTGAATTTGTGTGTAATAGTAAAAAATTATATTCCTCTTATTCCTTCAGTTGGTTTATCAGTCTTGTAATTCAGGAATCTGTACTAATCCCAGCATTTTTTCTTAATCTTTTTGTGACCTGAGATTAATAACTCATTTTTATTCCTTGCACCATGCCCCCAGAATTTCTGGTGACCTCAACTGAGGTAGCTACCTAGGCTAGTTAACATCAGATGAATTATGGTGTTTTCTTCACTTGACCACTGAAATGAGATATCAGTTATTTGCACAGCTGTGGGAGAAATTAAAGCAGCCAAACAGCAGACAACCAGGGCCTTTATAATACCCTCTGAGCAGTTCGATGGGTTTTTTAATTAATATTTTTTAAATAATGCTATTTTTAAACTTTCATATTCTATTTTCTCATAATGCAGGGATATTTTACTATTTGTTAGAGGTTGCAGATTTTGTATTTTAAAGGTGTATTTATCAAGTCAATATAGTCTTCACCAAAGTTGATAGGCTGTCTGTTGTCCATGTGTGTAATAGTTTGTTTGTGCAGAATTTCAAATGAAATGTGTTTTGCATGCTGTTGTTTATTTTCTGCTGTATCACCAGAAGACCTTTATTTTCATTTTAATTAAATACATAAATAAAATTCTGGGAACTAATGTTTGTGTAGAATTAAGTGGGTAAATATCTTCACTTTTCAAGTTTGGGGAAGAAGCCAAGAAGTTCTGTGTATAAGTGCTTTTTAAAATTTGGTACCTGCTCACTTCCAGTTTAATTTCTTATCCTCTCTTTGGTGATTAAGGCACTGTTGCCTAACTCACTGATTAAACGTAGCGAAGCAAGTAACATACCCCTGGGAAACAAATTTCCTTTTCAGGTTAAATTGTATCACTGGCAACTCTGTAGGGTAGATGTGCCACCCATGGGGAAGCACTGTATCAATGGCTGTTTGGGTTTTTTTGTTTTGTTTTTGTTTTGTTTTTGGTTTGGTTTGGTTTTGTTTTGTTTTTGTTTTTGTTTGTTTGTTGTGTTTGTTTTGGTTTTTTTAATGGCTTCATTTTATATATATAAAATCAGGATTATAGAATGGTTTGGGTGGAAGAGACCTTAAAGATCATCTAGCTCTAACACCCCTGCCATGGGCAAGTACATGTGTCTCAGTACATGACTTGATGTGTATGTTGGGTTTGAAGACCTCTTGGGTTAGCATCTCTGAGCTGTCTGTGTGTTGTGAACAGAGCTGGTGGTCAGCATCTCACTAATGAGCCACAGTTCATCACTCCACAGGTAGAAAGTATTATTTTTCAAGATAAACTCAACCTCGTTAAGTTTCCTGGAATATTTGATATAGCAATTTTTGGCAACCATTTATTTCTAAAGAGCTGCAAAGTTACTGCAGCTTTTTAGATATGAATATGGGGGGAAATGTATGTACTTTTGCAGAAATGAACAATGGAATAACACTTCCTAAAAGAGGTCAAGATTTAAGTGTAAGGCTGTATTTTCTATTAAACCATCTTGGTTTGGTTTGACTATTGTGGAATATGGAGTTTGTTTGTAGATTGCACTTTTTATGAAGTCTACTACAGGAATGCAGAATCATCTGTCAATAAAAAATGATACTTGAAAAAAGGTTGCCTGTTACACAGCCATAGTCATTGTATAAAGAAAGATGTGAGATATCATTTTTTCATGTAGCTCAAAAGAGATGAGGGTTCTTCTATTTCTTTCTTTTATTCAGTTACAAAAAAGGAGAGCAAGAAGTTGGTCTAATTCCATTCATAAAATGAACTTTGTGAAGTCCCAACAGTGCTGAAATGCCATGAAAATTGCTACCTACTTAGCAACTCTGCTAGTTCACTTGAAACTCTCCTATTAATTATATAAAATATAAAGTTAATTCCTTGGGCTATAAATCATTCCATAATGCATTCTGAAGAATTCTTTGCAGTTTATTATTTGGCAGTACTGCATGCTTAAGACATTTGAATTGAAAGCAGTGTATTACTTTCCAAAGTAGGATTGAAAATATGGTACTGATGTATTTGCTTTGTTATTAATGCATAATGAGGAAATGCATATTAGAATATATGTCTGCTTGCAAATGCAATATTCGTAATACAAATGTATTAAGCAAGAATGTTAGACTTAATTTTAAAGCATCCAATGAAGTTTCTAATTTTGTTTCTTAATCTTCTAGCAATTATCCAAGAGAATTTTATGATCAATATGCTCAAAGTCAAGAAAAATCTGTGGTCAATAAAATGCAGCAGAAATACTGGAAAACAAAACAAACCCTTATTAAAGTTACAGGAAAAAAGGAAGATGAACATGTTGTAGCTTCAGATGCAGATCTGGATGCAAAACTAGAGGTTTGTAATGTTTACGTAATGTGTGTTCTCTGTTTGTTAATTTTTAAAGTGTTTTCATTCCCACCAAACCTCTAATATTTGTACACACAGTATGTAATAATGTATGGTTTTTTTGCCATCATTTTCACGTAATTTTCAAATTTTGGCAAAAGTACTTATGTAAATTCAGTGGCATGCAGTGCCATTTTGTAATACAAAGCCCCATGTCCTCCAAGCTTTACTTGGAACCTAACATCTTCTGGATTTACTTTCATGTTTTGGGGACAGGTCTTTTCCTTTTATTAGAAGTGGGGAGCAGGAGATCATCTTTATCCTTTGCCTATATCAGTTTAAGGTAGTTTATTTGTTTTGTCTAGTATTCTATAGTGTATACAAATTCTCTATACTGTTACAAAATACCACATGTCACAAAAGCATGCAATGTACCAAGAAGGAGCAAGGTGCATAGTGCGCTCTGTGCTCTGGAGTTTTCAGAAAGCACATTAATGGGTTCTGACATGACCAAAGAACCTTCTGAAAGTCTGTAAGATATAACCAAGAGAAAGAATCCTGCTCTCTGACAAATACAGTCCTGCTGTCAGTATCCTCAACCCCACTGAGAAAAAAAATAGCTTAAGGCTCTACAAACTGAAGAGCTCAAATGAATTTGAGACAAAGCAAAAAATCGAGGGTGGACTTCAGAAGTGTAACAATCCAGTTTGGGTCCATCTAAGTTTTGTTGGTATTGTTCTGTTAGGTAAGGGTAAATATTTTGCCTTACTGGTTTTCTTGTAGTTTCTTAAAAAAAAAATATTGACTTAGAATTCGCAGTTTATTCAGGTTTTAGCTGAAATACAAGAGGCTGTTTTACAACAAATACATCTTTGTAGTTCTGGCTAGAATAGCAGTAACTTATAACATGGTGATTCTAGCTATGGAGTCTTCACAATGGGTTATAAATCAACAGTATTTATGTAAAACAAACTGGAAGGATGGAACAATATTTTTAAAATACCTGTGTTTCTGCCATGTCTGCTGTATTGCAGATTCATCAAAAAGGTTAGCTCAGGTGGGATTGGAAATAGGGAAACTTGTGTTTAAAAAAGCTATAAGCATGTTTTCACATGGACAGTTTCTCACCTGCAAGTCACACTCCCAGTTTAAAAGACAAGCCCTGTGTAAATGTATAGGAAGTCAGGCAGCTGTGAAGGAAGGCAGCTACTGTGCTAGTAATCCATTTTACTTAGTTGTGTAATACTTGATGTGGTAGAGTTTAGATATAAGTTGCAGGTTGGAGATTTTAGATGGACAGATAGAATGAGTAGTAATTCTTCTATTTCCTAAAAACAATCTCCAAATTTAGTCAAGACTGAAATTTTTTACCTCTACTCCCTTTGGAAACTGCTGCTTTATAAATTTTATTATTCCAATAAAACATTCAGTTTAAATCAACAGCTTTCTCTGTTGAGATACCTATGCAACTTGGTTCCACTAGACTTCACAGTATGAAAAATTCAGTATGCATGTTGCCACATGTGATAAACATGATAGACATTTTGATAACTCTTTGCTCTACTAGGAGTTTTTTAGAAACAGATTTGTGTATATATATATATATATATATCCAAAGATATCACCTAAAAAAAAAAAATGCAGTTTGGTTAACGGTCAGCTGTTCCTTTGTAAGTTATGATTGGTCTGTAGTTTCAGTGGATAACTTAATTGAAAGAAAAGCACAATTGGTAAGGAAAATACTTTCAGGCTTGAAAGGTTTCTCATTGTTCAAGAAGCAAATAATGATCCCTGATAATTTCTACCAAAGATTGAGTTCTTCCATGTATTTTATTCATCAGTATTTCTTACATACACTTAACAAATTTTTTGTGTATTTTGTTTCAATATCAGCTGTTCCATTCTATTCAGAGAACGTGTATGGAGTTGCTGAAAGCAATTGAATTGTATCAAAAAAGGATTTGTTGTAAGTATGATCAAACACAGTAATTAAAATGGTAAGAAGATCTGCATTGTGGAACCATTAAACAAGTGAAAAAGGGAAAATTAAAATGGGGAACTACTAGTTTCACCCTATTTTAAAGTAAAAATAACGCTCCTTGCAAACTGCTAAAAGCAGATTTGCTTATTTACTTGAAGATCTCCTAGATCTTAAGTTTTATATATTGATATAATGCAGTGATAGGTAGCAATAATTACTGGACAAAGCTTGCCTGAAGTTCTTTTTCCCATTGCTTGCTTGGCTTGTTTGAATTCTGAAGTCTCTTGTCTAGAAATCCTAACTCCTTTCTAAACTCTTCTGGTTTTTCTTTGCATTGGGAGTGATGATGAAGAATATTTCACTTATTACTAGTTTTATAATTAAGTAACCCATGCTATTACAATGAATTTCATAATGCTGACTTGGCTGTAACAAATGTACAGTTATTAGTGACAGTCATTAGTAAGAGATGGGACCTAATCTGGGAAGTTTCAAACAGCAAGTTGTATTAAATATCTGCTAAAGGTTCTCTGCAACCAAAATTGTTTGATTCTCTGCAACTGTGATTTCTGACCTGGAGAAGAGAATCCAACTTTGGAGTAATTTTTCATTTTACCTTGTTCTCTGGAATGTTATCCATATTTTTTCGAACCTTTCATTTTTCTTTTGCCTATCCAAAGAGAGTCAGGGATAATGTTGCAGAATCTGGAGGTAAAATTGAAATAGAGAATAGTAGGGCATTGAGTTAAAGAAATGTTCCATAGTAGCAGGTGAAGTCTCTGATGCAAAGATGTGCATGCAGAATGTTCTGCCAGAGGTCTACCAGAGTCTGCACTGGAGTTGACTCTCATTTTGGCAAAATGACAGGAGGACTTCCAGAGATCTTCTCTTATTGTATTAGGCCAATCTCCACCCTGATAGTGGGAAGTAGTCTAACCAACCTAATTTTTTTTTTTCCCAAGAAATAACACGTTTCTCCTGTTGTCTTTTGACATTGATGGAATTTTGTGACTCTTGTTAAGTATATCTGTAAATGTCTCAAGTAAATCAGATCTTATGTTTATGAAATGCTGGAATTCTGTGAAATTATTTACTTTTGCTTTGCTGCGTGGACTTAGAGTGACTTAAACTATTTGATGTTAAGGAAGTTTTAAAGCTGTTAGAAATCAATTAAATAACATATTTGACCACTCACTTATTTTTTGTTAGTTCTGTCTCAGGAAGAAAATGAATTGGGGAAATTTCTTCGATCACAGGGTTCTCAGGATAAAACAAGAGCAGGAAAAATGATGCAAGCTACAGGAAAGGCCCTCTGCTTTTCTTCTCAGCAAAGGTATATGGGTCAACATTACTGTCTGATTTACAAAGTACCTATGATAATGGTAGTTGAGTCACAATTCATTTAGCCACTGGAAATGTGTGAGAAATCAATTGATAGGAAAGCTATTGACCAAACCTGCTATAGTATTGGCAATGTTACTGGCTTACTTTTCAAATTTTACCTGATCCTGCTTTTTGTCTTATGGACCTACTGTGTCTGTATCTCCAGTGCCTACTCAGAAGTTCTAAAGCTGTACTGGTGCATCTCTGTGGCCTCTCTAGCACTGAGGTTGTAAGGGAGCTGCTGTCAGGTCCCTCCTCTTCTTGGTGGCAGTTCTCACTCTGCAGATAAATGCTACAGCAGGCTCACTGTAGAGGTGTCTGGGTCCTGGGAGGGAGGGAGATGAGTAAGGAAATACTTTTTTGGATACTTCATATCTCAAGTAGACAGAGGAGAAAGGAGGAGTCTGAATGTCATTGTCTGCTTTAACCTTACACTGTGAAGTCCCCACTCCAAGGAGAAGATCCTAGAAGATCCCTGCTGAGCTCATGTAGATTAGGTGAAAGCAAATCAGTAAAAGGTAAGGAATCCAGAGGGACACACGTGCACACAAACATATGCTGTTACCCAGAGCCCTTAAATCTCACTGACCCAGTGTTTGCTCAAGGAGTTTAAAAGTAACTGTACCTGATGGCATTATAAGTATTATGATGCGCTTTTTTAACAGTATTGGGACTATGGAAGTTTGCGATTTACCGTCACTTGGGAGTGAGAATTTTATTCCATTATGTTTTACAGGATTTGGGGAGGCTTTTAACTATTGTGATACTTTTCAGGTTTAGCTTAACAGTGCAGCTGTTTGGGTCAAAATAAAACGTTGCATACAGAGCCCTGAGAATTTCCTATGTTTACCTTGGGCTAGAGTTTGGTCATTAGCACCTCCAGTAACAACCATGAGTGGGATCTTTAAAGCACATGTAAGGCACCCTTGAGCAAAAGCACTGGTGATTTGCTTCTCTATAAAGCTTAACTGTTTGTAAAAATCTCAGTGTATGGCACATCTACATAAACTGAATTTTCCTTTGGATGTCTAGGTAAGTATTTGTAGAATGAGAAAAAATATGGGGAAAATCAAAAAAACCACACTAAAATGTTCACATTTTGTTACATCTCCTGCTCAATGCATTTTTAATGGCATCTTTTAAAATAAATTCACATAAAAATAAAAACAACTGTTTATCTTTCTTCTCTTGAGCTATCTTCAAACTCATGTTGCAGTTAGGACTACTTTTATTTATGGTGCGTGCCAATAGCTAGCTCAGTAGATGGAGATCAAGAAGACGTAATTTCTTAGTTACTGAAGGTGAAATTAGAAATTCTCTTAGGCCAAGGGTCTTCCTAGCACATTAAAATAACTCTGTGCTGTTATGGAATGGATTGAACCCATTCCAGTGAGGTCACTGCTTGCAAGAAATAGGAAAGCAGAAGCAGCAGGAGGACATAAAGCAAAAGTTGGAGTAATCCTGCCCGGTTCTGAGATACCATTAGGAGCTGAAGTGATGGCATAGGGGAGACAACAGTGTCCCCTACTGCCTTTCCAAAGTGTGGTTGCCAGAAGAAACATTTAGGAAAATGTCCAGATCCTTCCAGAAGATAAATATCCTTCAAAGGACTCGTTCAGATACTTAATAAAAATTAAAAAAAAATAAAATAAAAAAAAATCAATAATTACCTGCTTGACAGATTACTTTTTTATTTACATTTATATCTGAAGATTAAAGGGCTAATTGAAGTGCTGTTTGTGGGGTTTAACATGTCAATCCTGATACACCTATGGTATTTATCCAGTAATAAATTACTTCAGGAACATTTTTAGAGTTGTTAAATGAAACTTATGAAGAGGAATGGTAATAACTGACACGTAAGCGGCTTGGCAAACTAAAATGCATTAGAAGAGGGTGCTTTTTCACTCACATGTGTAAGTAAAACCTCACTTCTTGAACAGGAAGGTTGCAAGCACAATATTCATGCAAAATTATCGCTTTCATGTGCACCCCCAACCAAGTTACAGAACTATCTGAACATACATTAGCACTTAACTATTTTGGCTGTCAGTAGTTTTATTACTCCTTTGTTTAACAACTTGTTTAACATATTCCCCTCTGTCCTTTCTTTCCTTCATGCCTTCCCCCAGATTAGCACTCCGTACTCCTTTGAGTAGATTATATCAGGAAGTGGAGACTTTCAGATACAGGGCCATCTCAGACACGTGGCTGACAGTAAACCGAATGGAACAGTATCGGACTGAATACAGAGGAGCTCTACTCTGGATGAAAGATGTGTCTCAGGAGTTGGATCCAGATCTTTATAAGCAGATGGAAAAGTTCAGGAAGGTATGAAGTTTCCTGTAGTTTCATAGAAGGGGATGCCTGATAAATGATGATGAAGCGTGGTTTTGGTTCTTCCGAGGAGGACATAATTCAGAAGCATTAAGGATGCCATTTGTCTTAACTTTTCTGTGTGGGCTGTAAAAAAGGCGTTTTACAGTACTGTTTTCAACTTCAGCAAACATCTTTATAGTTTAAATAATATACATTTTTGAAGAAGGTTATCCAATTTTAAATACTCAGCTGTGATACCTGAATGACTAATAGAAGAAGGTATGTCTGCAGTCAGAGGGGAAAGGGAAAATTGATTTTTGCAACTGAGAAGTACAGAATAACAGAGATGCTGTACTATCTGCTGCTAAATTTTGGGGTGCAGTTAAAGACCAACATTTTCAAAATTGGCTGGGCTTGGGTTTTGGGGAGGAGCTATAGATCTGGAACTTATTTTTCAGTTTCTTATGCAGTTCAGTATGACTCTTGGGCAACTGCTGAACACTAAAACTGCTAAGAATGCTCTCTCCATAAATCGTCTTCATTCAGTGTCACTCCAGTTCACTGAATTCCTCCCCTCACAAAAGGCTACCAAAATCCCAAGTCCTAGGTGGTAGTCTGCAGTTTTGCTACAAGGTATGAGTATAGAATTTATTTGGGCTGATCCTGTCAGTTCAGGAAAGTTCATGAGAATTTCACATTTGCTAGTGAGGCTCTAGAGCAGAGGTTGTTACAAGTTTATAATGTTCACAGTTTGCTCTGTATATATGCTGGCTATCAGGAGGAGTTGGGATCTTAGGTATAACCTGCTGGTTTGTATGGCAGTAAAAAAAAATTTACAGAAATTGTTGATAATTGAAAATAAAGGTCTAATAACAGAAAGTGTATTAAAGTGTGTGCATATGGCTTAGAGACGGGTAATGTATAAAAGAGAAAGCACTGTTCATCAATAGCTTAAGCAGTCTGTAACTGAAAGTGTTTGGAGATAAAAGATTCTTAATTTGGGACTTTAAAAGTTTGAATAAACCATCGTAACGGGAAAGGACTGGCATGCATCTAGGCTATACCATTTTTTGTACGCTGAAGTGGTGACGGTAGCAATTAAGGCAGGGATGGAGCAAATGATACCCTAGTTAGTCATCTAATCTTTATTTAATGCTTCTGCACAGGGTATTCCTGTAAGTTTTGTGGCACCAGACATGTATTTTATTATGCCTTGTGGGAAATGTTTGTAATGGCAAGTTCCTGCAGGTAAAATAATTGGTATGGTCTTGGCCTCAGCTGATTGCTTATGTATAATGTTTGATTTATTACAAAAGCACTTAAAAATGGAATGTGAGAATGAATAAAGCAGTACTGATAATAGTCATAGAAAACTGAGTTATAGCTTTCTTGCAAAACAAGTGCTATGGAAGGCATAAATTATATAGATGGCGAAGTAATTAAAATAATGTAGGTTTTGTGCAGTGAGCTGCTACAGTTAAAAACTTAGATGTGAAATTTCAGTGATCTTGAGTTGCTATGCGTCAAGTCAGCAAAAAGAGGATTTTTGTTTTTTATAAGAGTTCTCACAGAACTTAGTAGTAAGTGGAAATACCAAGTACCAAGTATTTTGAAATATTTCTGGGTCTGAAATGAGTTACATTCTGACATGAAGTGAATGTAGATTCTAAAATTCTGTAGTATTACCTCAAATAGTGAAGAAACCCGAAACTTGAAAGTCTTTTGAACATTTCTTTTCTCCAACTGGCTGTCAACTGAATTGGCAGAGAACAAAAAGCTCTACATTTTGTATCCAACGAAGTAAAGAAATGCCCCTGGTATTCACTTCCCTACATATCCCATCTGTGCAACAGGCATATCAAATTAGTCTTTGAAGATTTTAATAGTTGCAGAAAGTAACTTTTTCTTTTCTAATTTGGGAGAAAAAAATCCTCAAGCACAGTGTTCCTAGGTAACTGTTGCTGAGCAAGATGCAAGATTGTTTTTTAGTGCAAAAACTAATGGCGGATAAGGTAGTCCTAAATAATTAAAGCATAGGAGTTTTTATTGTCTTTTTTTTCTATTTTTCCTTGCAGATCTTAATCGTGCCATGGTGTGGCAGTGTAATGCTGAGGTTTTAGGGCTTATTTTGAATCTGTAACAGCAGTTTAAGAAGTCATGCTAGTTTTGTGTTGAGAAAGATATTATAATTGCTGGTATAATGCTTTTGGTTCTAAAACATACCATTACCAGAGAGAAGCATTTTGATCTGGAGCTGCATATCGAGTGATATACCACCAAATAGTTATTGAAACTGATCCTGTCAAAGCATTTGAAATAAAGTTTTCTTCAGACTTCTAATTGTAAAAATCCTAAGTAGTACTTCAGTAAACATTTTTTTATTTCAAGTAAACAGTGCCAGTTTAATGATCTTTAATGCACCTAGTGCAACAACAGTATTTACATCACTTGGTTAAAGGACTGTTTTTTAAGTATGAAGCCTTTTATAATGTAATCCTAAATGTATCATTATGTATACAGATATGGTACTTGTTTTTGTAGACCAAAGCTAAATCAATCCAGATGGGGTTTTCATACCTTCCCTCAGAATAGCTCAGGCTAAAAGATCAATAGTTGAGTCAGTATTTTCAGAGCTGATAAAATCTGAGTTAAAACGCTGGCATTTTGTAGCTTTCTTTCAAAACAATGAGGTAAAAGAAAGAATTTTCTAATGCTATTCTTAAGGCGTCAGCCTAAGTATGCAAGACCCAGACTTTCAAAGTCTCTCAGAACACTGCAGAACAGCCTTTTTACATTGTTGTTTGAAGATATCTCTGTGATTGTAGCTACTTGAGTCAAAATAAGGAAATAGGTGAAGTTTTACTTTTCCCTGCGGAGTTCTATAAATGCTATGTATCTTTACTCTTTTTTTTCCCATTAATATTTTTTTATGAACAATCCAGTGCTGTCCTGGATATAGAGGCCTTCCATCCAAGTTCAGAGTTTGAAGTGTTCCTTGAGGAATTCTAAATGGTGCAGTGGCAATGCTGTGATATTTAGAAGAATCTGAATGAGCAATTACTGCTTTACCAAATTCTCCACACTGATCAGGTTTCTAAGGTTCTTAAATCTGGGCTGTTTTACCTGTCTGGAGACTGTACACTGTAACATGAGCTGTGCTGTCATGTTGTAAAAATATAGACCAAATTACCCAAGTGCTGATATCCTTCTTCCAACTCTGGAAAAGTTAAGTTTTTCCATGCATTTTCTAAGAAAGAATGTGACAGTGTGTAGTGATAGGCTATGATACCAGGCAGCAGGCTTTCATGTGCAACCTGAAGGAACACAGAAGGGACTGCTGTTCAATTTTACATAGCTAAGCTATCTCAGATGCTTATACAGTTTAGTATAGACTTTCTCATCAAACCTATGCATTTCAGTGCCACCCATAACAAGTAAAAAGTGAGAGCTGAAAAAAATACCATGCTGATCTTTAGGCTAACTATAAGAAAAATTGCCTCTGTGTGTAGATTATTTATCATGCTACATATGGTAAAGCAAATTAATCCTTTCTATATTTGTTTTTCGCTTCCATTCCTCTACTCCTCTGCTTTCTCTTTGTTCTGAGGTTTGAACCAAAGCTGGAGTATGTTTGTAAATACCCAGTGGCCATGCTGGGATCCCTGGGACAAGCTGCACTGCATGTTGCAGTGTTCTGAGAACTGTGTACCTGGATATTTGGGCTCTGTCTCTCCCTGCTGTGTAGACCTCTCTGTTTTGCCAAATCTACTTTCCTAGGAACTGTGCTTCTGTAGGAACCAAACGAATCTCAGATGGGTTGAAGCTATATAAGGGTAAAGAGTGATGCATGGGCTGGTTGCAGCAGAGCTTTGTAAGTGCTATTGGATTGATCTGCTTGGCATACTGTGCAAGTCTTGTATCTATATATCATAGTTGGCTATTACAGGAATTAATATCTGAGTTTTTAAAACAGTGTGCATTAGATGGGTGTTGTCTGCAAAAAGAGTTGAGTGTTGGTCAGTATAGTTGCATGGGATCTGTGCAGGAAACCAGTAGCATGGTTTGTGCTGGGCCTCTTTGCTGAACCATGAACTATTTCAGAGGTGGAATAGATCACACCGTGGAAGAGATTTGTCAATATATCCCCCCAAAGATCCTAAATTACTACAGAGCCCTTAATGTCAAGCTGTTACTTTGCAGGCAATTGTTGAGAAACTTTCAAGCTTGCAGCCGAGTTGTTCGGATACAATTTATCTCCACTGCTTCCTAGTTGTAACCCTCTATATACTTGAAACAAAATGAATGCCCTTAAATGGCATTTTAAAGATAAATCTAGCAAGAGGAAAAGAAAACCAGTGAGAAAAAGGAAAGTTCAAGCAGAACTCATAATGACATAACAATAACTTAAGCTGTTGTTGTTATAAATGTACCAATGAAGGGAGTAGCTGATCTATGCAAGTTCTCTTTAAATATATTCTAAGAAATAAAAGTTAAAGCCTGTGTGAACAGCTGGGAAATAATGAAGATCTAAATAAATCCGGTGATTTAAAGGTCAGAAGGGAAACAGTGAAGTGTATGTATTCTTTGTAAAGATCTCAGCAAGCCTGGATAAGATACATCTGCCACAGCCTTTCAGTGAGGCTCAGGACCTACATCTCTGTTCACCCTGCTGCCCCCTTGCCTATTAGCACTGCCTGGCATGAGTTTTGGCTTGTGTGACGATGAAGGCACTGTACCACGTTACAGCATCATCTGCTACTCACATATCCATTAATGTCAACTGCAAACAGTCCTGCAAGCCTGACGACACTGTGGAAATTTACTGGAGTATTATTTTAAGTTTTTTTCTTAATTTACAGAGAATTAAGAATACTTTTGAAACTCTTGGAGAGTTGGGGAAATGCAAAAAGCCTAGGAAAAGAGAAAAACCAAATATGATGCTGATCTTTTGAAACAGGAGCAGACTTGGCAATTGCCATCCTTGGAAACTAAGTTTTAGTTGCTGGTAAAAA